GGGGGGGGGGGGTAAATGCGCTTACCGGCGACCTCGACGCGCTTGGGACTGCCCTGCTCCCACTTGAGAATGTAGGTGTTTTCGTAGGTGTTCTCCATCTCGCGCACCACGGCCTGCACACACACACGAAGACGCGACGCGCACACACACAGTGGACGGCCAAACAGCACGGTCACTCGCCCCCACCCACCCACACACATGCACTCGGCTCACATCGGTGTTTGGGCTGCGCGAAGAGGTCTTCCGATCAGCCGAGCGAGCAGCCTCTTGTGTCTGCACAAGAACCACACACACACACACACACACGCCACACGTGCACACATAGCACCCCCAAGCACACGGAAACTCTCCTTCTCACTCACCTTAACCGGCGAGGGCAGTGTGGGCGGCGACCGGTCGGCCTGAGGGAAAGGGGAACAAACAAAGGAAGCGCCGCGCTTCGTGCGTGTGGGTGCGCCTCTCTGTCTGTTGGTGTGGGGTTGCATAGGTACGTTGGGCGCCGTGGGTGAGTTGTCGCTCTCGCTTGTCGACGCCCGCGTCGTGTTTGTTGCCGACGAGTCTCGGTGTCCAGATGGGGAGAGGCAGCCTGACGTGACAGCCACAGGCAGGCCGGAACACACACACACCCATCACCGAATGAACGGAGGAATGTCCGTCCACACACCCCCAACACACTCTTTCTTCCTTCCCTCACTCTCTCACCTTGGTCCTTCTCCTCGTCGATGTCGCTGCCTTTGTCCTCCAGCTCGGGCAACGAAGAGAAGTCCAGCGGCTCATCGCCGGGGTGATGGCGTTGGCGACGGCGACCGTCACCACTCTGATGTGATACACACGACACACACAGGAGAGGCTGCAGACTGACTGGGGAAATGAATGGCTCGTCGGCTGTGGCCACGGACATACACACATACATACCCTTGTGGGCAGAGGTAGAGTGGGCGGTGTTGTCGGCGTCGGAGCTGCTGCTGGTGGGGATGATGACCGGGATCCTGGTGACTTCGGACGGGGGGGTGGCGGGCGCAACGCCGTGGGATCCTCAAACAGGCTGATCTTCTCGAGCTCCTTCCTGTACAGCTTGTTCGTCAAGAAACTGCACACACACACACACACACAACGATGAAGACGCGCGTGCGGTGTGTCCGTCGGTGTGCACCTCCACACGCCCACAGTGAAGTGACCCTCACTGACCCGTTGCGAAGCGCCCCGACGTGCCTCTGCAGGCTTATGCCCTCGAAGGGGTCCGCTCCCCCATAGTCACGCCGTCGGAGAAAGACGTCCCGGAAAATGTGGTAGGCGTCCTGCTCGGTGAAATACCCCTGCACGCACACAAGAACGGCATGATCACACTGAAATGAGAGCCGCCATCAGCCACCCACCTTGTCGCCCATCCCGAGGTCAGGAAATCACTCCGAAAAGCAAACTCAGCGCAGTGAGTGACTCATGAGGCCACATAGAGTACAGTGGGAGGCCGGGGATGCGCTCCTTGAGGAAGACTGCGAGCTTTCTGTTCGCCCCCGTCTCGACCTGGGGGCCTTCGCAGCGCGGCTGTGGACACTGGCACGCGCAGGGCAGCACAATAGAGGCAGCATCAGGTAATGATTCAGAAGTGCTTCTGTATGCCATTGCCTTCATCATGTATATACATGTATCGTGCCTGCAGGGACCGTCCCCATCGATGATGGCTCAGCCCGGGGCTGCGTCAGACTGTGAGGAGGGCGTGGTGAAGGTGGTCGTGGGCCGCGACGGCAAGCAGCAAACGTTCTTCTCGCTTAAGAGCGATCTCGTCAAGTACCCCTTCTTCTCGTGCCTCCTCGACGGCGAGGGCCATCGCAGAGAGAAGGAGCAGCAGACCGTCACGCTGCCCGAGGTGGACCCTCTCACCTACTGCCACCTCATGCAACTCTTCGCCCTTGCTCAAGTCGACGACAGCAAGCCATGCAGAGACCCTTGCTTGTGTTGATTTTGTGTGCCTCCGTGCAGTCGAGCGGTTGTTGCATCCCGAAGCTCCTCGCACGGACCATTCCTCCCTGGCTCTTCACATCGAAAGGATGGCACAGAGAACCGGGCCTCACGACCCTGTCTCGGCGCCTCCCCCTCTGAATGACGTCGACTCGCTGGACTCTGACCCTAGGAGTGTGCTGGCCCTGCTGAAGCTCTGCAACTACCTGCAGCTCGACACATTCGCCGACGCCATCCTCGAGACAATGGCTCGTAACCATCGCTCTCTCACCGCCGACCACGTGAGCTATCTGGTGCTTCTCAACCCCAAGTTCTTCGAGAGGCCATGGGTGCGGAAGATGGTTGTGCGGGTGTTGGAGGGCCATTTCCGGCAGTGGGAGAGTGATAACGAGCTCCACAGCATGCCTGTGGTTCGCCTGGCTGAGCTGGCGTGTGCGGAGCCGCACTTGCACGGGGTTGCTGAGACCGTTCTGACGACCATATATCTGACGACCATATACGAGCATATTCACAGGCTGGAGGTGGCGGAGATCGCCAGCCTTGTCACCAGACTGTCGAACATCATGGTATGTTTGTGTGCTGCTAACAGACAGACAGACCCTATGCATCTGTTTATGAAGGAGAGTGAGGGTTTTCCGCTGACGCGTGCTGCCGAGACCATTTCCCGCAAGCTCAAGGGTGCACCCGATCGCAAGTGGGCCGAGATGGCCAAGGACCTGCAGGCCATGCCAAACAGGTCTGATTTCATCACTCGACCCACACACGAAACGGCCCCCAAAATGTATCCACGAGTGGTGTGCATGTGCTGTGTCCATCAATCAGCTTCGTGTGGAAGATTGCGTTCCTCGTGGCTGATGAGGCCGAGAAGCGCGCCGAGAAGACGATGGCCGCCCGAATGAAGGCCGGCCCGCCGCAATCGGGCGGCCCGGTGCAATCGGGTATCTCGCCAATAGACTCTGACGATGACTGGGGCGCTGTGTCTCCAAGGGGGCCACTTCCGAGTAAGGTGGATGAATGGATGGATGGATGGACGGATGGCGTCTTTCTCTATCATCTGTGTGTGTAATGCAGATTTCGATGGCGATGATGACGATATGGAGGACGGATGGTGATGACGTCTGACTCTGGCTCTCCGGCTCCCTCTGACTCTTGAGCAGGTGGCCTTCGGCTGTGTGCCGGCACCTGGCCCATCATGGCCCTCGTCGGCACATGGAAAGATAGAGAGAATGATAGTGGCGGAGGACACATGAGTACTTTACCACTCCATTCATCCAGAACTTTTCACTGGATTTAACGTCGTGTGGTCCATCCATCAGATACACACGCAGGCATGCAAATGCATGATATACACAAGGCTGATCGATGTTGCTCACCACACCAAACGAGACAATTCATATGACCGACACGGGATGATCCCATTGTGGTATCAGGCACCTGTCTGTCTGTCTGTCTGTCGGGCTACTAGTGCTCAATAATCACATCTCTGCCACTCCAGTGTCCTCCCTCGTCCATCTCGCCACAAAGAACCCATCGGTGCCACCACCGCCGCTGGGGAAGAGCGTGCAGTGGCCCGACCGACCCACCTCCCCACACAACTCGCCAGCATTAATTGCACCTGCACACAAACACACCGACATCCATACGTGATCCATCGCAGTGTATTACTGCCTGTTTACTGGTCAGCAGTGGGCATGGGCAGGGGGCAAAGCCGCTCTGTCGGTCCATCACGGCAGCCACGTGGTCGTTCTCGTGCCGGGAGAGGGCGCAGGTGGCGTACACCAGCAGGCCGCCCGGACGCACATAATCACGGGCGCCAACTGAATGAACAAAATGGATGCTCACATGGGTTTGTGTGTGTGGCCATTCCATTCACTCTTACTTACGCAAAATGGCCGTCTGCAGTGCCGGCAGTGTGGTCTCCGTCTGGTTGAGCTGCCACCGAAGACTGCATTCAATGCACGAGAAGAGCGCAGGATGGATGGATGGATGGCGTGGCTTTTCTCAGTGCGGCGGGAGGTATGCACCCTGGGTGTCTTCTGAGGGCCCCGAGTGACGAGCAGGGAGCGTCCACCAACACAATGTCGGCCTTGCCCTTCACACGTCATTCACATCACACACACAGGATTCACATACCGGTTCGCTGACTGTGTGGCCTTTATTGCCTTGCGCACCTTCAGAGCCGCCAGTTGCTGCCCATCTCTCACCACTGACACACACGAGCTGGCGTGCGACCGCGGCAGCCGCCACTGTAGGGTTGTGCACACCCAAGGTTGACACAAAGAGAGACAGACACCGATTGTTCGGTCTGTCGGATGGATCGGTATAATCATGTGTTAGACCTCTATGTCATCGAGTCGTGTGTGGTCGGTGTCGTATGCGTAGATCCTCCCGGACGGGTACATGGCCGCCAAGGCGAGCGTCTTCCCGCCCCTTCCTGCTCTCATCGCACCAGGACAACACACACACAGGTACCGTACGAGTGGATGTCCATCCCTCCATCCATCCCTACCTGCACACAGGTCGATGATTAGTGGACTGGTGGCCGCCTGCGGGCCGTCCAGCTGTCGACACGCACACGCAATCAGCTGGGAGCCCTCATCCTGACACACACACATCTGTCTAGATAGATGGAGGCACGGTGGTCGGTGCGTCGAGTCGACGCACCTGCAATTCGAAATCGCCCGAGTGCCAGCCGCCCAGCTCACGCAATGACACGCCACGCGGCCGCCTTGCCTGCAGACAGACAGAGGGAGAGAGATCCACGTTTCTATATGGTATGGATGTGTGTGCGGCACCTCGAGCGTGACGCCGTATGGCGACGTCTTAGTCGGCGAGGCGTTCACATTGCGTTCACGAAGGGAGGCGAGAAAGGCCTCGCGCGTCGTCTTGAGACTGTTCACCCTGCGCCCACACAGACACCCACACACGGCACAAGATACAGAGTCGATCCATATGATTCCATTCGTCAGCACATACATGCCTGAGTGTCGTCGTGCCCCGCTGGCAGGATGCCATGGCGACCATCTCGGCCGTCTCGGTGCCGTACTCGGACTCCCACTTGCTGACCAGCCACTCGGGAAGGCTGCTGCGTACCCACAGAGGCTGCCTGTGTGCATGAACACACACACATATACATAGAGAGACACATAGAGTCCGTGTGTGCACTGCCAACCCTGCAAGCAGCTGATCTGTGCACATCTGTCGTTGCGCATCGACAATCGCCTCGGCAAGGGCCCTTCTCGACTCATCCTCTGCACTCCTGCCGTCGAGGAAGGCCGCCTGCGCACCGTACACCGATCCAGGCACTCAAAGCGCACACACTGGGGGCGTGCGAATGTGCATCACGACGCACCTGGCCATCTCTGCTTTTGGGGCCACAGCAGCCGCGCAGGTGTGCCGGCATGAAAGTGTCCCAATAGATGAGCAGCAGAGCACGGACCAGGAAGTCCCTCCCCTCTGCTGTGAGGCCCTCATACGCCTTGCCCTCTCCTGGCCTGACACACACAGAGGGAAGTGTGTGTGTGTCAACCTGCACGCGTACGTGGCTGGTACACGAGTGGATACCTCTGGAAACCATTAAGGACACCGACATCGGCTGCAGACAGGCCATTCCCCTCTCGCGATAATGCACCTGCATGTATTACAGAAGAACCGGCACCCCCACTACTTTTACTTATGCGTCATGCGGACCTGCCGCCGCTTCGCTTTGTGCCACCGATGTGAGCAGCGTCACCAGCACAAAGTGAAGCGTCAGCCACCTGACCACCACACCCAGCACCGAGTCGGCAACGAAGGCACGCGAAACTGGGTCCTGCAGACACACACACACACACACACACACACACAAGTGGATGGCCATGCAGTCAGGCGTCGTCACCAGACAGACAGAGGCACCTTCTGCTCATGATCTCCCAGCTGGGCAATCGCCTTCTTGACTGCGTTCTCAGCATTGCCCCGGCCTCGCCTGTCATAGATCCTCCGCAGTGCGCCCACACACACCTCTCCCGCATGGAATGGCGCCTCCTCTGTCCGCACAGCACTGCAAATGAACACATACAGCACACACAACACAAGCAAACGCAAGCAAACAACCAGTGAATGAATCAATCAATCAATCATGGCTGCAGGCCGCCAACCTCACCTCTGTCTGCAAGATCTTCCTTTCTGAGTGTCCCTCGTGTGCGGTTTGATCTTCTTCTTGAGCACCCGGCATCGCGCGAAAAACGCAAGAGCTCGAAGGCCGTGAGCGTGAGCATGGACAGCCCCGTGTGAGAGCACCGGTAAAGATGCTTGAAGGATGAGGCCTCGCGCTATCAGTAGGTGCATGGCTGGCTGTGGAAAGGCAGAAAGCGCTCTTCTGTTCTCAGCTCGGCTTCAAGATCGCAACTTCGACAGATCGCTGCTGCGACAGATCGCCTCCCCTCCGCAGATTCGACCGTGATGCAGCCCAACCAGCAGCAGCCCAACCAGCAGCAGCCCAACCAGCAGCAGCAGCACCCCGTCGAGTACATCTTCGTCGGCCGCCGCACATTCTACCTCCTCAGTCTCGATGACATCCTGAGGCTGAGGAAGACCTGCAGCTGGCTCAGAAAGCTCTTCGGAGCGCCTCAGCTGCGGCAGCGGCTCACCCATGAAGTCAGCACACAGGCGGGGCTGCGGCGGGCGGCCAACGGACAGCAGCTGCTGACATTCGACGACCAGCAGATGGGCGAGGGTGACCTGCTGGCGGCGCTGTGTGTGACGGAGGCGGGCGGCTGGAGTGAGATGAGCGAGGCGGTCGAGCTGGCGGGGCAGTGCGGCAACTGCCAGCTGCCTGTGAGGCTCACTGCGGCCGATCTGCACCAATACCCAAACAAAACGGTAAGCCAACCGAGGGAGGGAGGGAGGGACAATAGATGGCTCTCAATGGGTGTGTGGTGTGTTGATGTGCTGTGTGTGCAGGCGTATTTGGCCGCTCCCCGTGTGTTGGCTCAGCTCAAGATGGTCGGCCCCCACATCGACTTCGGCAACGGCGTAACCTTCCAGCTGTTCCACCACGGCAACAGACTGCGGGCCGTCAACGACGACGACGGCTTTGAGGTCGACATCGACCCGCCCCTCCCTCCCAACCACCCCTACCAGCAGCACCGACAGCAGCACGACCCGCCCGCCCGTCCGCAGCAGCATCGACTATCATCCGCCCGAGGGCTGGCGGTTGCTGACCCTGTTGGCTCGGGACTACTCATCTGTGTCGTCGTTCGTCAAGAGCATCGTCATCGACCACTTCAGGGACACTCACCAGATCAACTACACTGCAAGTTTCATCGACAGGTCAGGCGGGGCATCACTTTGTGTGGGCACTGTCACGACACACAAGTGTACGTTGTGTATTGTGTGTGTCAGGCATGTTGACAACCACCGGCTGCACACCATCGTGACACAGTCCCCCCACACACCAGTGAGGGATGCACTACAACAACATCGTACCTCCCCCATGTCGGCCTCCGTCGTTCTCTTGTGCTGACCGACGCCTGCCAATCGTTCGTCGCGTGCATCACCGTCCAGCTGGGCTTCAACGGTCAGCCCAGCTCGGCACAGCGAGGGGGAGGGAATGCGGTGTCACTCTCATCTCTGTCCTCCCCCGTGATTCGTTTGCAGTGGGTGTGTCGGTCTGGACCACCGAGGCGGCTGTGTGTGGTGTGGGCGGCGCCTTTAAGGACCGCTTCTCGGAGACCACTCAGCTGACGCGGGCGGTGCTGGGGGGCCCCATCTCAGCCATCCTGTTTGATGGCGCATGGCATTTTCTCAAGGGCAGACAGACAGACAGACAGGCCGACCGATGGATGCACCACGAACTTTATGTGTCCAGCCATCCCTCCGTGACGAATTCGTTGCTGCAGGCATACATAAATACACACATAGACTGCGGCGGTGCAGTGTGCATTTCATTTCATACTCGTTGCCCACTCACACCCACACACATGTCATCACAGCAGACAGACAGACAGACCGGATGTTCCCATGCAGTCAGTCGTTTTTGCCTTCTTGTTGGTTCCGATTGATGTGTGTGGGTGGTGATGGGCTGGTGAGCGGGCGGGGATCCCTTCCTGTCTCTCTCTCTCTCTCTCTGTGTGTGTGTGTGTCGTCTTGACATCATGTTGTTTGTGTGTGACCCGATGCATTCCACCGGGTCGCCGAGGTGTTTTTGCTGACCGCTCTCACTACCATACGAATGGACACTGTGGCGATGCGGTTCAATCCTCCTTGCTGATGCTGTGCGGGTACATGTGGTGTCTCGGTGGCGGTGTGATGGCTGCCGCATGAGGTGGGTGGGGTGGGATTCACGCGTGCCTGTGGTCCATCCGTCTCTGCTGCCTTGTCTGCCTGTAGATCTCTGTATGTCTTATATACTTATTTGTATGTCTGTACACACACACTCATACAATGTGCATACACACATCCATGCCATGGCATGCACCCATGGCCATGGCCATGGCCCCCCTCTCTCTTTGCATGACATGAATGGCTGGATCGGCAATACATCGAGGTTCAATTGGCTTTTTGCTTCCTCTGGGTGAGTTGACACAGCTGATGCCTCCTGTCTCTCTCTGCGTGTGTTTGTGTTTGTGTTTGTGTTTGTGTGTCGCATGATGATTGGACGAGAGGACAGACAATAGAGACCGAGATGCAGGTCTGGCGCATCTCTGTAGCGATCGTTGCGTTGTCTGGGTTTCATACCCTGCAACCCCAGAAACCCTTTGAGAAGTTGCCGCCAATAGCCATGAGTCTGTGAATGCCTCAGAACATCCTCCTGCCATATATTATCATCGGTAGGCATATGCACTGAAGTCCATCAGCGACCAGCGATAGAACACTCAGTGAGAAAGCACTGGGTGCAGTCAGTCCATTTTTAGTCACGAGGAAACAACAACAAACAAAAACACACACATGCCCTCCCGTCCCTTCATGAATACCCGTGTGTGTGGCCTCCGTGTCAGATTTGATGACGGCGTGAGTGAGAGGTTTTGCAGCTGTGACGGGCCAGCTGCTGCAAGGCTGCTGCCGAAATCCAAGCAGTAAGCCGCCTCCCTGCGAACTCAGAGCAGAAGATACACACAAACAATCACAGAGGGTTTGTGGGTGCGCTCATCATGTTTGTCGCATGATTGAGGGTTGGTCGATTGAGGAAGAGATAATTGACAGATGGCATCCATGCACTCGCTTGTCCAAATCGCCTCCATGAATCTATCCACATATGCCTATGCACAAAGGGCACGCTCACTCATCCGATGAGAACACCCCAGCCCCGTCCATCGCCCCAACACCACGCCATGACTGCCTCCCGCCCCTCAAACACAGGCTAGCAGCCCGCACCAATGCAACAGACAAACGAGCACGCAGCCACCCATGCACCCGCCCTCGCCCCCTATCTGACCACCCCTGCCTCGTCAACAGCTGCTCAGTCAAGCGGGTGAAGAAGTGCTCCGCCTCCCTCCCCCACACCCCATCGACGGCAGTTCATTTCATGAGAATTTTCATGAGAGACCGACAGACTCTGCCTGCCGTTGCGCTTTGAGTTAACGTTGTCCCTACTGTTGGTGCGCTCATCGCATTTCCTTGTGTGTGTTGTTGGCTCTTCGGTGGGTGCAGATGGGTGAGCGTGTTCTCCCGATGGACACCGACAATGACGGTGACGGCCCGGCGCCGTCCGCCAGAGGTCAGCGGTGAATGGATGGACAGCACATGCAGTGTAACCACACAATTGACTGATGGAAGTGGCGACCCGTTTGTGTGTCATTCATTGCCTGACGGGAATGTGACACACAGGTGGGAGTGGCGGTGGTAGCGGTGGTGACCTTCTGCAGAAGATCCGAGCGATGCGCTCGGTGAGATGGGGAGGGAGAAGGGGAGGGCTCCACACTGACATTGCTGCGCTGCTTCTGGCTTTCAGGATGCCTCTAAGTTTCTGTCGTTTGTTGATCTGGCCGAGCAGATGATAGCCACACATACCGACAACAAACAGGTCGTCACAGAGACCGCACGGCCGAGCTGCTGCACTCACTGGTCAGCCCGTCCTTCTGCCTTTCTTGCAGGATGATGAGATGGTGGACGGCAGCCTGTCGACCGTTCTGGAGACTCTCAGCGATACCCACTCGGCCCTCGGCAGGCAGCTGGCGCAGATCACCACTGACTGCAACACACATGTGAGAATGGATTGAATGGCCAATGACTGAGTGGCACACACAGGCCGGCCACTCCCTTTATTGTGTGTCTCCGTCCCAGCGCATGGCTGCTGACAGCGGAGCTCGTCAGTGGGGGGCGGGCGGTGCTGTGGGACCGAACGAGACCGACAACAATGCACAGCAGGGCAGAGCGGTACGCACAAGTCCACACCCACACAGACACACAAACTCATTGGTGTGTGTCGCTGGTCAGGTGCCTGATGATGACGGCGGCGCCAAGAAGCGTAGACGCATAGACATCAGCCCTACTGCTGCTGCTGGTGGGCACAGCGGAGGTACGGAAAGCATCGGCTGCTGTTGGTGGACTGCACATCGTCATGACCCTCCTGTGCTGTGTGTTGTGGTGCCTTCAGGTGGCTCGATTGCTGCGGGTGGTGCTGCGGTAGAGTCACAGCAGCAACAAAGAGGTGCCACCTCACTGTCGGCAGATCTGGCGGCCCCTATGCAGCACTCCCAGCAGCAGCAGCAGCAGCAGCAGCAGCAGTACCCCGTGTGGTACGTCCTCGCCCACCGCGGCAGCGATTTTCCGCTGCGGAATGTGCTGTGTCTGAGGGAAACCTGCAGCTGGGCGAGAGGCCTCTTCGAAGCGCCTCAGCTGCGGCAGCGGCTCACCCACTGGACAACAGACGATGAGCTCAGCGCACAGGCGGGGCTGCGGCGGACGGCCAACGGACAGCAGCTGCTGACATTCGACGACCAGCAGATGGGCAAGGGTGACCTGCTGGCAGCGCTATGTGTGACGGAGGCGGGCGGCTGGAGTGAGATGAGCGAGGCGGTCGAGCTGGCGGGGCAGTGCGGCAACTGTCAGCTGCCTGTGAGGCTCACTGCGGGCGATCTGCACCAATACCCAAACAAGACGGTAAGCCAACCGAGGGACGGAGGGAGGGAGGATGGCTCTCAATCGGTGTGTGGTGTGTTGATGTGTTGTGTGTGCAGGCGTATTCGGTCGCTCCCCGTGTGTTGGCTCAGCTCAAGATGGTCGGCCCTCACATCGACTTCGGCAACGGCGTGACCTTCCAGCTGTTCCAACACAGCGACACACTGCGAGCCATCAAGGATCAGGACGGCTTCGAGCTGACCATCGACCCGCCTCTCCTGGCCAACCACCCCTACCAGCAGCACCGACAGTCAGATGACCCGCCCGTGCGCAGCAGGATCGGATACCTCCCGCCTACGGGCTGGGTGTCGCTGGGCGCTTGGGACTACTCATCTGTGTCGTCGTCTATCAAGAGGGCCATCCTCAGCCACTTCGAGAGGACTCACCAAACCAACGGCACTTTCCGTGCTATCAACAGGTCAAGCGGGGCATCAATGTGTGTGGGCACTGCCAGGACACACGAGTGTGTGTGTGTATTGTGTGTGTGTCAGGCTTGTTAACAACAACCGGCTGTTCAACCTGCTGACAGTCCTCACACAGACCAGTAGAGGGATGCACCACCACCACATCATTCTGCTCCACTGCCGGTGGCTTGACTTCTCGTCGTCTCGTCCTGACCGACGCCGGCCACTCATTCGTGGCATGGATCTACATGTCGGAGAACTCGTATAATGACGGTCAGCCCACCACGGCATAGCGAGGGGGAGGAGGGTGACAAACCCATGCGTCATACATAAGCACTCAGTCTCATCTCTCTGTCCTCCCCTGTCCTTCATTTGCAGTGGATGTCCACGTCAATACCACCGAATCGGCTGTGTCTGGTGTGGGTGGTGCCTTCAAGGACTGCTTCCCGCAGACCACTCGGCTGGCGCGGGCGGTGCTGGGGCCCATCATCTCAGCCAGGATCTTTGGCCAATAGACAGCTGAGGTATGTCTGCACCAAAGACGACCGACACGAGCAGAAGATGTTCGCACACACACGACGACCGCAATGCTGTCTATGTGTCTTTCCATGTGTGTGTCAGGCCGGACGGTGGTGGTGACAGTGTGAGGAGCACTGCCGGCTGCATAGACGGCTTCAATGGTGCGCGTGGGGTTTTCCGACTGGCCAGTCTCTGTCTATCTGCCACTCGATATGCGTGTGTGCGTTTATCAGTGGCTGGCGGCCATGTCTGTCTGTCTGTCTGTCTGTCTGTCCGTCTGTTTTGCCTCTCTCTCTCGCCATCTGCCGTTGTTGGTGTTTGTTGCACGTAGTGGCTGACGGCTGACCGTCTCTCTCTCCCTCTCTCTCTGAATGTGTAGACACGTATGTATCGCATCAAATGGAGCAGTTCTGCGGTACGTAGCTCAAAATTCAGCCGGCCCGGCAGATGTGACTGTCACTAAGGTGACCTGATGTAGATGTGACTGTATGGTGTCTGTCTCACCTGGGATCAATGTACTTATGTGGGTGAGACAGACTGTTATGATGGATTTTGTCGCATTGCATGACATTGACTATCCATCAATTCAGTTCATTTCAATCTATGGCTGGCTCGGCCGCCTGGCCGGGTGCAGAGTTCTATGGCTCGCCTCTTCGGCTCTGAGTGAGTGAGTGAGTCAAACAGACAGGCAAAGAGCGGCAAGACAGCGCTGGACTCATGTCAGTGAGTGTGTTTGCTTGTGTGTGTGTGTGTGTGTTTGCAGTGATTTGGATGGCGTCGAGTGCCGAGTGCTTCAGTCGATTCCATGCAACGGATGAGCTGCAGCAGCGGGGAATCATCAGCTGCTCGGACCTCTGGATGGATCATCGCCAAACTGAGGCGAAAGACCAACATCACGCACACTGCAAATGTACTGTACATTGGCCGAATGACTCACTCATGGGTGCCTGCCTTGCTATGGCTCTCTCTCTCTCTGTGTGTGTGTGTGTGTGTGTGTGTGTGTTTGTATGGTGCAGACGTGTTGCGTGCCGGACAGTGTGATTTACGAGGCGCCATCTCTCCACGGCCGCCTGCTCAATAAATGCCTCAGTGACACAGCCAATAATAATCACCGGTGTCCTGCCTGCCTGCCTGCTTATGTGAATACACTCATTGACGGATGGTCTGTCTGTCTGTCTGTCTGATTGTTTGGTAGAGGGAGGAGCAGTGGATGGAGATACTACAGGGAGGGAGGGAGACTGAGAGAGAGAGAGAGAGAGAGAGCCAGGGAGGGATACAGTAAGTAGGTAGCTGAATTGGTCTGGACGAACAGAACCCTACCCACTCACTCACACACACACTCGTCGTGTGGATTCTTCGCGTGTGAACGCGTCGACGGCTGTCTGGTCTATGGTGTCTTCAGCTAAGGCGCGATGGATCAGGTCTCGCCGTCGGCTCGTTGACACACGAATAACGACACGCGCTGATGGACAGACAGACAGACAGAATGGATGGATGAGGGAGAGGGAGAGAGAGTCTTGCCGGCCACAGATCAGATCAGATCAGCTGCTAGCAGTACAGACAGACCAGCAACTAACCATGCGCACTCTCACGCGCAACACATCACACCTGCAACACACACACACACACACACAGACACCCACACGTGTGGCTCGTTCCCCCTTCTCATGTTCGCACAACCGATCCTTGCAGGGCATTGCGTGTGCCTGCCTGCTTGGTCGCCCGGCCCGGCCTGGCCTGGCTGCTGTTGCTGTTACGTCGATTCTATCCTGCGCCTGTCTTTTTCCTCCCCGCCTCCCTGCGGCATCAGTGAGTGAGTGATTGAGTGTTGATGGCGTGGCCGCGCGTGACTATCTGGGATGGACGGAGGCTGTGGCTGTGTATAGTGTAGAGAGACCCGGTGGCTGCCTTGACTGTCTGCTGTCTGATAGAATGAATTGGTATGACACGATTGATTGGCCGGACCGGATTTGCAATGATAAAATACCTGCCTGCCTTTATCCGCGGTATCAGACACAGACAGGCAGGCTCGTGTGCACAGCGACCTGTGTACAACGCACACACGACACGACACACACACCCGTCGCAAGAGAGAGATAACCTGACAGAGAGAGAGTGTGACCTGTGTGTGTGTGTGTCTCGTGTGTGGGTGTGTGTCGCCGTCTGTGTTGCCGTGTGGCTGCCTCATGAACCATGACGGCAGCACAGCACAGCAGCATGGTACGTACGGATCACGCACACGCAAAGGCAGACACACCCATATAGGTAACTCAACGATGATGTGTGTGTTTTTCTCTCGTGTGTGTGCCTCCCGCCCTCCCGCCCATCTCTGCTCTCTCTTTGTTTCTTTTGCTGAATGAATCGACCGATTCCCACGCACATACGGTACGGCCAACGCAATGCATTCAATGACCAACCAACCAGCCCCAGCTTCATTCAAACCGGGTGACTGGTGGGGTGTGTGGGGGGCTGGGGTGTGTTCTCTGTAATGTCTAACTAATGTGTGTGTAGTCTCCAATGTCCAATGGCTCCTTTGTTGTCGTTGTAAGCTAAGCTAAGGTAAGCCACGCCGGCCTGCCTGCCTGTGCGAACAGAGAGAGGGCGGGAGGGAGGGAGGGAGGGAGGGAGGGAGAGATTGGCGGACCGGTCTCGCGTCAGGTGCATGTCTGTCGTTTGTCTGTCTGCATGATATCGGTCTTGGTGATTTGCCCGACGCACAGAAGATGCAAGGGGCCGTGTATAGCTTTGCACAGCCCACAACACACACATGATGCACATCACTTTACACACCACACATATCATATCACATCACATCACATCCACTCTGTTGCTGCCAATGTAATTCAATAATATAATGGCTGGGTGGGTGTGTGCCTGGACGGCTGGCAAGGTGAGATGGCTGGTGGCTCTCTCTCTGTCTGTCTGTCTGCTGTGTTGATATAGTCCCGCTGCCACTGCAACGCCATGATTGCCCTGCTGCGCCATTTCTGGCCGCCCAATTGCCCGTCTGCCTGCCTGCCTGTGTGCGTGCCACTTGTGTGCCAATGATTTTTCTGGTCTGTTCATGTGATGGGGTTCATTGATTCCTTGCCGGCCGGGCCGTGTGCGTGATGTGATGCGGTTGGTGCGGTGACTGACAATGGTCGTGACGCACTCAGTCAGCTGTGTGTTAACTAACGCTTAATCGGTCTATCTGCTGCATTGCATTCGACCGCTCTCCAACGCCTTCAGCGGACAGGCCAACTGCGGCGGAGTGAGAACATTAGGGTTTGTCTGGCTGTAGGGTCTGAAACCCGGATTTCCTGCGAGCATTCTTCGGGGTTTCATACCCTGCAACCCCAGAAACCCTTCGAGCAGCCCTGGGCAGTCGTAGGTCACAGAACACATACCCTAGGAGTGCCCACGCCCATCTTTGGTTGCCCGGCATCTCGTCTTGAGGCATCGCCTCCCCCGCCCGCCCTTCCTCTCTCTCGCCCATCTGCCTCTCGGCAGATCTTGACTGCCGTGATGCAGGACACACAAGAACAGCAGCCCAACCAGCAGCAGCACCCCATCGAGTACATCTTCGTCGGCCGCCGCAGCTTCTTCCTTCTCAGCCTCGATGATGTCCTGCAGCTGAGGGCCACATGCCGCTGGCTCAGAGAGCTCTTCAAAGCGCCTCAGCTGCGGCAGCGGCTCGGACATTCCCTCAGCACTCAGGCGGGGCTGCGGCGGGCGGCCAACGGACAGCAGCTGCTGACCTTCGATGACCAGCAGATGGGTGTGGGTGACGTGCTGGCGGCGCTGTGTGTGACGGAGGCGGGCGGCTGGAGTGAGATGAGCGAGGCGGTCGAGCTGGCGGGGCAGTGCGGCAACTGCCAGCTGCCTGTGAGGCTCACTGCAGCCGATCTGCACCAATACCCAAACAAGACGGTAAGCCAACCGAGGGAGGGAGGGAGGGAGGGAGGGAGGATGGCTCTCAATCGGTGTGTGGTGTGTTGTGTGTGCAGGCGTATTCGGCCGCTCCCCGTGTGCTGGCTCAGCTCAAGATGGTCGACCTTCACATCCACTTCGGCAACGGCGTGACCTTCAAGCTGTTTCACCACGGCGACACACTGCGGGCCATCAAGGACCAGTTCGGCTTCGAGCTGACCATCGACCCGCCCCTCCCTCCCAACCACCTCTACCAGCAGCACCGACAGCCACATGACCCGCCCGTCCGCAGCGCCACATATCGGCTGCCCCAGGGCTAGATGCCGATGTGCGCTCGGGTCTCCTCATCTATGTCGTCGTTCGTCAAGAGCATCGTCCTCGGCCACTTCGAGGGCACTCACCAGATCAACTACACTACAAGTTTCATCGACAGGTCAGACGGGGCATCACTCTGTGTGGGCACTGTCACGACACACGAGTGTACGTTATGTATTGTGTGTGTCAGGCATGTTGACAACCACCGGCTGCACACCATCGTGACACAGTCCCCCCACACACCAGTGAGGGATGCACCACAACAACATCGTACCTCCCCTATGTCGGCCTCCGTCGTTCTCTTGTGCTGACCGACGCCTGCCAATCGTTCGTCGCGTGGATTGCCGTCACGGATGTCGCCAACATTGGTCAGCCCAGCACGGCACAGCAAGGGGGGAGGGAATGCAGTGCCACTCTCATCTCTGTCCTCTGCTGTCATTCGTTTGCAGTGCGTGTGTGGGTCATTACGACTGAGTCGGCTGTGTCTGGTGTGGGTAGCGCCTTCAAGGACCGCTTCCCGCAGACCACTCAGCTGGCGCGTGTGGTGCTGGGTGACATCATCTCAGCCATCCTGTTTGACGGCGCACCGAAACCGGGACAGCAGCCGGAGGACGACAGTGACGAAGGTACGGACACAGGACACACGAGAAGGGACGCCCATGGATGGATGGATGGATTGTCTTCACTGCTGTTGGCGTGCGGTGCAGATTCCGATAGCGACGATCTGGACGATAACGACGGTACGGAAGCAGACACAGATGAATGGATGGATGCATGACCCCTTCTCTATCGTCCGTGTGTGTAATGCAGATTTCGATGGCGATGATGACGATATGGAGGACGACTGGGAGGACTCTGATGATGACGGCAGCAGCGGAGAGGGCAGCAGAGGTACGCAGCAAAAGAAGGGGGGCACGTCACGTGTGTCTGCCTGTTTGTGCCACCTGATTGATGCAATCTCAGCAGGTGGCGAGGCCGCGGCGGCGTCTGCATCTGCATCGGCGTCTGTGGGCTAGGCTGCCTCGCGATGGATGGATGGGTGTGTGTACGTCACGGGGGGGCGTGCGGACTGGCATTTGCTCAAAAGCAGACAGACAGACAGACAGACAGGCCGGCCGACCGATGGATGCACGATGAACTTTATGTGTCCAGCCACCCCTCCGTGACGAATTCGTTGCTGCATGGGATGCACACATACGTATACACATAGACTGTGGCGGTGCGGTGTGTATTTCATCTCACACTCGTTGCCCACCCACACACCCACGCACATGTCACCACACCAGACAGACAGACAGACAGACAGGCTGCTCCCATGCAGTCAGTCGTTTCTCTCTGCTTGTTGGTCCTCGGCGATTGATGTGTGTGGCTGGTTGCTGGTGGGGAGGCGGCTTGCCTTCCTCTCTCACTGTCTGAGTGTCGTCCTGAATTCATCATGATTGTGTGTGACTTCACGAATGCCACTCGATCGCCGAGGCGTTCTTCGTGAATGAATGCTTTCATGTACACGCAATGCATCCATACTGGAGCGATGTGCTCCGATCAATCCTGCCTACTGATGCTGTGCGGACACATGACATGTGGTGAATGGTGGAGGGACAGCTGGCTGCAGGCGGGATCCGATGCATGTGATGTGCGCTTGGTCCGTATTGTCTGCTGCCTTGCCTCACGTCGCCTCCTCCATCCATCTCTCTCTCTGTCTGCATGTCTGTACCCATTTGTATGTCTTCTGTACACACCTCTGTATCGGTGTACACAGACGTGTGCATATACACTGACTCACATAGATATATAATGGACATACTCACATCCATCTGTGTCGACGTCTACCCATAGCAATGTCGGCTTTCTTGCTGACGCTGCCTGGCTGTGCTCTCTCTCTCTCTCTCTCTGTCTGTGTGTCTCTCTGAGTGAACGGCTGACATCCGTGCGCTGATTTATTAAAGTACGGCTTCTCTGTCGAAGTGGGTCGATCGTAAGGATGACTGTCTTGTGTGTGCACGGGATTAACGGAAAGCGTGTCAGCACGAGGAGTCCATCAAGAATGCAAACTAAAAACTAGCTAGCTGTCCCTTCCATTCAATCACTGCAAGCATGCCAAATGTAACCCTCTGCCCGACCACCCACCGAGTCCGTCATAGATTATCAACCCT